GAGTCACAAGAATAAGAAGGTACAGCAGAAGTGTAACTTGAGTCAATTCCTTTATTGTTTTACGTCCACGAAAATTTAACTCGCTCACGCCATCCTGGCTAGTACAACTGGAAGTTTTTATCAGGTTTTGGTAGGTACAAAGTGCCGGTTGTACTAGCCAGGATGGCGTGATTGATGACGAATCGCTTGTAAAAACGCGGACAAATACTTGCTTGAGTTACACTTCTGCTGTACCTTCTTATTCTGTGCCCGAGTGTTGAAATTTTGTACCATGCAACCGAGATATTGGGTGCTCAATTTTGATTTTTGACGCTTTCAATATATTTACTATATATAATAGTTTTGTTTGTGGAAACACCACATAAATTAAACACCACATAAATTAAACACCACGTAAATTTACGTGGTGTTTCCACAAACAAAACTTATATATTTTATCGCCATGCAAATGTACAAAGAACTTATATTTATTATTACATTTTCAAAATTTTGGCTGTGCAATTTCCAATATTGCCAGTCTGGGCATACCCCCAGGGATGCCGGAAGTTGCTGAGGGCAAGGGGTGCAATTGGTTAACAAGAGGGCATACTCCTTAATGAAAGGGCACCAATGAAAATGAAAGGGCGTCAATGAAAATGAAAGGGCGTCATGATCCTACATTCGTGTGTGGATCTTTCCTGGAACGACCCATTGCAGAAATGATCAACATCTCATTATGGAGGAAATGAGAATTTAATCCCATTTTGGACTTTTTAGTGCATTTTACTATTATCAGAAGTAGACCCCGACCGTGTCCCCCTCTGAATAGAAAAACTGTGGATCCTACTTACTTGTCAAAAAAGTGTTAGGTGGGGTTTATCTAGATTTATAATAATTCTCTAGGTTGACATGGAAAAGGTGAATATAGACACTATTAAACCATGGATAGGTAAACGTGTGACAGAGCTACTAGGCACTGATGATGATGTACTCCTGGAGTTTATTGTCAATATGTTGGAAAAAGAGAAGGTAGATATAAGATATACTGTTTATATCATATTGTATATATGTCTTCAAAGCAGGTATGATTCAACTTGATCAATTAGGCCAACAAAAAAAATACCTGGGTTTACTTAGCTTACCTTACTTACAACCTTACTTAGCTTTTGGCTACTGAAATTAGTGAAATATCAAGTTAGCAAAGTTTTGCTGACCTGAGACGAAAGCAGGTTGGCAAATTTGCATTTTCAATAAAATGTTCCTGTACTAATATTCTTAAAAATGACTGGCTAGGCAACATTTTGGTAGTGTATCATTTGCTATTGAATTGAGTTTATGGTTTTAAAATTTATGCTGACTAGACAGCGGTTATGAAGTGGGTCTATATTGTAGGGTCGGCGGTTTATCGATAAAACCGAAAAAACCTGATTTTTTAAAAAAAACGATTCAATCGATTTTTCTTTTGACAAAAAAATATGTGAAACTTGCAGAAGTAGTGGTGGCTTACAAACAATTCATATTCTGTACCCTGGCTTATTTCAGATGTGTGTAAAAGCAAAAATAAGACCGAAATATCCATAATTCACAACCGAAATGGCCGCCATATTTTTTTTACCCAGTGTTGCCACTATTTTATGAAATTTCCTTTAAATTTTCATAAGGAAATTTTCATTGGAAAACATTGTTTTTTTCGGGGGTTTCAGACAGTTTTCGGTTTTTACCCTGAACCGCCCGACCCTACTATATTGTTGACTAAGGTTGCTTAGTTGGTCATTGAGACACCTAAAGACCCAAAATTACTGTCAGATTTAGTAGAGCAAAATTATTTAGTTGGCACACACCTCTACATCCCCCAGTAAATCCATCCCTGTATCAAAGCCAAATGTTGCCTGTCTTCTGAATTGTTCAATATCTCTAAATACACCATTCTTCATTCAGAACCCGGACCCTAAGACCATGCAGATCAACATCACTGGCTTTCTCGATGGTAAAAATGCTCGGGTTTTTATGAAAGAACTTTGGGAGCTTCTTCTCAGTGCACAAACCAACATTGGTGGTATTCCAAGTGCCTTCCTTGAGAAGAAGAAGGAAGAAATACGACAGAGAAAAGTAAGAATGGCTTGTTTCGAGGGCATGGTTATTAGCCAAAACAAGTCCTCTTTGTCAGCTAAAGGAACAACAAATTGCACTTACAGAAATCACTATACTGTTTGAAAACTGATGGTTAGACAGTTTAGTTTTAAAACTCATTGGATGCCAGTGCTCTCTCCTTGACAAGTAAAATCATTATTATCTTAGTTTTAGGCTCTTTAGTATCACAACTTTTTAATATTTCAACGTTGCTAATTTTAATTCTCCGATGGACTAGATTGAACAAGAGCGGATCCAAACCAACCTTGGCGAAAAACTGGACACCACAGAACAACTAGAACCTGACAGCACCAATGCTGAGAAGACAGAAAAAGAGGATAATGACAAGGATGACAAGAAGAAAGATGACAGTGGTTCTGAGTCTGGTTCTGATCGGGATAACAAGAAGAAGGTATGGGAAAGAATATCAATTGTGTTCAATATCAATAGACCTTTCCCCTTTTAAGTGAAATTTTGATCTAGATATGCCTGGACAAAAATTTCATCACAGCTTGAAAGAGCATCACAAAATTAGTAATATTCCCAAGTTTCGTTGCGAAATGTTGTATTAAAATGCGGATAATATAGCCCTGCGAAGTTTGCCGTTTTTCAGTCAATTTGCATTATTAACGGGAAATTGATAATCAGATGATCAAACTGATTATCAATTTCCCATTTGTAATACCAAATGACTGAAAAACGGCAAACTTCACAAGGCTATATTATCCGCATTTTACAACATTTTGCAATGAAACTTCGGAATATTACTAATTTTGTGATGCTCTTTCAAGCTGTGATGAAATTTTTGTCCAGGCATATCTAGATCAAAATTTCACTTAAAAGGGGAAAGGTCTATAATTTTCTAATTCAATTTCTAACTTGTCAGCAGGTTGGAGTGGTAGAAACATGAAATAATTTTCCAAAAATGTTTTGACAGTATTTTATAGTTGTACTAATGTTTTCAAAACAATGGATGCTTAGTAATTCATTTGTCATTACAGAATGCCACTGAAAATGGAAAGGGCTCAGATAAGACTAAACGCATTCGTCTAGCATCGTCAAACGCACCTACCGTAATACCTGCTAAGCGTATGAAAGCAGGTTGGGTGGAAGACCACATGCGTTTCAAAACTATGGTCTCCCGTGGTGCGGATCCCGATGTTTTGTTAGTTGGGGACTCGTTAATAAAAGGTCTTGCTCGTTATGCCAATATTTGGAGGAAATACTTCGGGTTGATGAATTGTCTTAATTTTGGTCTTGGTGGTGACCGTGTGCAACATGTTATGTGGCGTTTAACACACGGGGAGCTAAATTGTGATCCAAAAATCGTTGTGCTTCACTGTGGAACGAATAATATCGGCAAGGATACACCCAGACAAATTGCCGAAGGCCTGCTTACGATTGTGGATCAAATAAGCATGGATTGCCCATACACTAGAACAATTGTTACAGGTTTACTGCCGAGGGATTTAGAACCGTCTGATTTTCGGAATGATATAGCAGAAGTTAATAAAATCTTGATGGAAAACATTGAGTTTAGCGATGAGATGAAAAATGTCTTTTTTCTTGAGACAGCTAAGGATTGGATCTTGGAAAGTGGGCGCCTTGACGAGCGTTTGTATTTCACAGATTGTTTGCATCTTGTCGAGGCAGGCGATGAGAAATTCGCTAAGGGGATTAAGGAAAAAATCGATGAAGTACTTAAGATTATTGAAAGTGATAAGGTATTTCTTGCATCAGAAGGACATTCATGCATTTCCTTTATATGGGCCTTTGGTAATTTTTTTGGCTGCATCCTCCATTGAATTTTTAAACGTTTTTGAAAGGTGCTAAGGGTTTTGTAATGATGGAAATTTCACTCAAAATCTATGTACACATTTAAAACCAACGAGAGCAACATTTGTAAAAAATCAAACTATAGATACCTTTCATAATGATATGATATAAGAACAACTAC